TTAATAGTAGTTGAAGGAATTGTACCCCTTCTTCCCACTGAACACCTGAATTACTTAAGATACACCTGAGAATGATCTCCTCCTCATTTTCTGGGAAGAAATTTTAAAAAGGATTGGGAGGCTCTGGTGTCAGCTAGAAAATGTATTTCCTCTCGATCCATACTAACCCTACAGATCATCAAGAGATCTGTATTTCTAGGTCCTGAAACAAAGTGATCCCCTTTCCAAGCAATCCATTTCCATTAAGTCATGTGTGTCCAACTTTGGCTTATCTGGGATGCACTGAGAGAAATTATCTTGAGTTGCATATACAATATATAACTGAGTTAATCTGTATGAGTAACAAAACTTACTTTTATAGGTATTTTTAATTAAGACTTTGAAAACAGCAACAAAAACATAAAACAAATGTAAAAATTCTTCATGGTGAGGGTGATAGAGCACTGGAACAGGCTGCCCAAGGAGGTTGTGGAGTCTCCTCTGGAGATATTCAAGACCCATCTGGATGCCAATCTGTGCAGCCTGCTGTAGGGAGCATGCTTTGGCAGGGGCGTTGGACTCGATAATCTGTAAAGGTCCCTTTCAATTCCTACAATTCTGTGATTCATCCTTGAAAATAGTTGCTCACAAATGTACATACTGCCAAAAAGCAGTAAGATGAATAAGACACAATTGTGAAGCATGGGATTTTTTCTCTGTTAAGATATGTCTTACAGAAGTCTAGTAAAGAGACATGATCAATTTTTTCGTGTTTGATTGCAACTCTTTTCATTACATTTAAAAATGTGTAGGTGATTCATGTCAACTGAAAAGGAAGTCACAAATATATATATAAAAAAATATATGTATATATATATATATATAAATTTAAATCTTGAAACCTACTCTCAAATAAGTTTCCAAAACTGAAAGCACAGCTGCATGTTTTTTGCTATTCACAGGTTTGTGTTTAGCCAATGTATCAAAATGCATGAAATTACTTGCCATAATTTAAACTTCATTTTGAATGTTGTTACAGTTTGGAAAATAGCAAAGATAAGTTTATATTCACATTGTTTCATTCATTTAAATAAGCATTCAAATCTACCAAAAATGCTATACATGTGAGACATTTTTCATCTTGAAGTTCTGGCACAAATTTTCCTTCTGATTCCATAAATGAACTGATATCGTTTCACAAATCATAAAACCTTTTAGCACATGACCTTAGCTTAACTATCTTCTTTCAGAAAAGTAAATATCCTCATAATCAGCATCCACACTTTTAAGGAATTCCTGGAACTGATGATGATTCAGCCTATTAGACCTTAAGAAATTCACAGTTTTGGTGACAAATCATGTGACATTATCCTCTTTTAAGGCTTTGGCACATAAGATTTCTTGACGTATGATGAAGTGATATTTCATCAAGCATAAGTTGCCAGTGACAATTGAATCATATTCTATTCATTTAATAAGCAAGTTCCTCTTTTTTACAAACCATCAGAAGCTATACTAGATATGTTCACAAGGGTGAGAAAATTGCTTTGATACAATTCTTTCCGCTTCATATATATGAGATATAACAGATTTAGCTGTGTCTTTCAATAACACCAAAGAAACCATTTCTTCAGTGACATTACATTCATCATCAGTATCTCCATCAATATCAATATCTTGCCAGAAAATGGCAAGTTGAGCTGAATCTGTAGCATCAGTACTTTAATCTATCGTTTTGTAATTAGCAGCTCTACTCCTCAAATTTCTTTCAAAAGATTTTTCTGTTTCTTCAGTTCTCCTGGCTACAGTCTGTTGAGATGAACTGATTTTAGAAAAATCCTTTTCTTTTTTTTTTTTTAATCAAGATATATTATATCTGCCACACTTTCCAAATGCTGCTTAATAAATTCTCCATTGATAAACAGATTTGAGTTTTCTTGGAATCAGATTTTCTATCACATAACTAGCTTTTATGACTAGCTTTTATAACTTTTAAAAAAAGATTTTGTTGAGATGGCAGACATTTTTTCAATTCCATTATTTTGTCTTTATGAAACATTCCTTGATATGCATCAAATTCGGCAGCATATTTATGCAGATAATGTCTTTTTAAATTGTAATATTCAAAAACTGACAAAGTTTCCTTAAAAATTAAGCATAGTGCCATATTATTTGTTTTAACAAAGAAGTGCTCATCTCCCCATTTCTCTTTGAACACTCTTCCATCATTCATGTTTTTCCTTTTTCTGAATTCTGTTCTCTTCTGAGATGCCGTGAGGCAGGTTGAATTATTAGTATCAGCAATCAAAGTGTTTTTCTTAACAAGCAGTGCAAGCACATGCCACATGTAGTAACACATGGTGCTCAGTGTGTGTGCGACTGCCATGAGAAGCAGAGTCAGCACTGCACTGTGCTCTCCCATGCCCTGGTTGAGTCCTGATCACAAACCAGTGGTTTGATTGTTGTCAAACAAGGATACACCCAGAGCAGAGCCACCAATGCACCAATCAATGATGATGCAGGGATGGGCTGCACTGCATGCTGGGCTGCATGTGGACAGCAGGCTGTGTGTTGGACATGCTTGCATAACGATCTGGACTTCTTCCTGATTATGGTTTTTCTCTAGATCAGCCTGCCTTTGCAGACAGTTTCTGAAATCATGTCTCCAACACTGATCCCTTTCTAGCTTAGGTCAAGGAGATTCCCACCTTGCAGGATGTTCAACTCCTCTAGCCCTCAGGAGTCTCCCAACCCCTTTGCCTTGCAGTCTTACTGGCCCTGCACTCCTCCCCAAGGAGGCTGTAGTAACTGAACCATCGCTCCAGCCATTGTTTATATTTTTTCCTTGTCCTGTACTATGTCTCTGGCTACTCCAGAACTTTGACATAATTCCTAAGGCTTTATCCAGGAGTACTGAGGGATTGTCATCCCTCTTGCCTTTCTTCAACTTACTACCACTCTCTCCCTTTTTGTTCCCCACAGTTCCCATTTCAACTCACCAGTATACTTCTTTTCAGAGTCTTCAGCTCCTCCTTTATCTTTTTCTTCTCTCTTCACAGACTTCCCAGTCCATTGTTCCATCTGTTTCTGGGATGGTACTGAGAACCCAATCAATCCCCAAGTGGCCCCCATAGTGAGCCAATCGCCATAAATCAGTGAAGGCATCCATCAGTTCACCCAAATGCTAACCAACCTCAGAGGGTGAAATGATCCCGAACAAACTCCCAAACTGTTAGGAAAAATTTTGCTCAAATAAGCTTGCTCAATTGTATTTATCCCAAAAAGAGACAGAGGAGAGTCTTCAGTTTTCTTTATTCAAATAAAAGAAGAGTCCACAAGGACAGTCTCCAAAGTCTCAAAATATCAGAGGGCACAGCCTTCTGTTTTTATTCCCATCTCCCAACAGCATAGTCCCTCCTCCTTCACTCACTGGCTGAAGCTTTTGGAGGTTACAACTTCACGATCTGCCTAACATATGTTCCCCCTTGTATGCGACTCCCCTTTGTATCATGAATTGGATGTGCAACTAACTCCAGCTTTATGCCACTCAGGGCAGAGAAGTTTGTATTGATTAGCCTATTATGCCTGCACACTAAGTCCAAAATTTCTAAGTTAAAATTATCGAGTGACCTTTGTAACCAAAGCCTTATTTGGTGAGAGTTTACAAAGTACAAACATCAATCAGAGAGGAATTTGGAAGCCATTGCATCACTTGTCTGCAAGCACACCTTGTTCACAAGCCTTCTTTATCACAGCATCTATACTCAGTAAAACTGTACAGAAATATATATATATCGTCATCTGAGCACGTACCTCTCCAAAGGGGGCAGTGGAATACCTGAGAAGATGACAGCCTCTAAAACAGTTGACCACAAAGACTATGGCAGAGCAGTCCAAAAATATATAGGTTACTAAGTTTCACAATGCAGCAGCTTTCCAATGTGAAACACAGATTGAAACAACTCTGCACAGCACCTCCAGCAGGTAGCTAGGAAGAGTTGCAGTATGAAGGCACTCCTCAGCAGTCCACCACCTCCAGCAGCAGCAGCAGCTGCAGCAGCAGCTGCGCACTTCACACTGCTCAGCATCTTGCCAGCCAAGTGGTATGGGGTGCTCTGCTGTCCATTTCAGGTAGTCAGATCAGCATGAAACCAAGAAGTTGGTGGGCAGGACCACAGCTAGCAGCCATTCTGGAGCAGCTATTGGCTGCTTTCTAGGTGGCCAGATGGGCCATTCCTGCTCTTAACCAGGAAGGTGAGAGAACAAGTGACCTGCACACCCTGACTGTGTGTGCACTGGTGAACAGCTGGTAAACAGTAGGTGAACTGCTGTGGTGCTGATAGGGATCTCCAGGTGCTTTCTTTGCTCAGTGTTAGAAAGTCAACTACAAATCCCAAAGTATTTTAACAGTGACGCATGAGTGGGTAATCTTGCCTTACATTGTTTAAAGTAACACGTTCAGTCCTGCCATAGCTTCATGAGCCTCAAAGATCCTGTTACAATCTTTGTTGCAAACCATGCCTGAAAGGCCTTCAATCTGAAGATGCTTTTCTGGTGGGACTGCTCTTTGATAGCTCCAGGCCAGAAGGCTGTGGAGAAAAGCCTGTGAAGGGTATCTCCTGCTTTGCAAAAAGGTATATAATCAAAATCATGTTAGGAGAAATATCTTCAGACTTAACGGTATTTTCAGGGTGCCCAAGTAGAGAATGAATGGCAACAAAGCACCAGCAATCCTTAATCTGATCCATATAAATAAATAATCTGTTACTTAGCATGTGTTTAAAAAAGTACCCCCAGCTTATATCCTCCATAGTAGATGAGTTTGCTTGCTCAGTGCTGTGTTTTTCCAAGAATAATGTAATTATTTTACTGAAAAATGCTACTAACTCATGCCAAAACTACAGCTGAGTCACCAATGACAATTCCAGAAATCACAGATTCACCCAATTTTGTCTTTCCTGTCCTAGCTAAAGGAACTCAGTACTCTGCAGTGCATAGAGGATTGGAGTATAAAGCAACAGTGAAGGAGAAAATTATTTATTTAAAGCATGTTAGGAACACAATTCACAGTACATGTTAATAGATGACTACATAATGGGGTGATTGTAGAAAGGTGACTTTAAAAAGCAAAGACAAGACATAGATTGTACACTTTGTGGATACTGGTGTTTTCTTTCTTCTTGTAAGCAAAGCTGCACAAATGAAGACTGTTTCAAACTATTTATGCACTGGTAAAAAGTATAATGTACTCAGTCTGTAAATTTTCCTTTTAATGTATAAACTAGTACTTTTCTGTATCGATTACAATACTTAATTTAAATACAGCATTACATCTTATTGACTTGTTGTTTTAAGGTGCAATTTATGAAAACCTACAGTAAATATTTTCTTCTTAATCAGTTCTCTTTGGCACACTTCTGATTTACTTAAATACAAGAGCTAGGCCTGACTTGAGTATATAACACTGCAGGTACCTGAAAGGTTTTTGTTAGCATACACTCATAGGCTTACCACAACTTTACTTACAAAGAATTCAGTTTACAAATAAACTTGATAACAAACTGTAATATGCAAGGCAAAACATTTGATACAGGATCTCCCCTAGAGAGAGTGGTCTTTGCACCATGGAAATCTTGTATAAAATGTGTTAGAAAACAGATTTCTCATGAGGAAATTCTTAGTGCTTATTATCCTACAGAAAGCCATGAGAACACATGACTTCCTGGGTTAAGATAGGTTTCATGAGATACAATTTGTCTGATATGTTGGCACTGTAGTAATGTTGCAGCTGCAAACTTGATGTTTACACAAACTGTGTAAAAAGCTTACTGACAGTGGCTGCTTTCTATAACAAGGCATGCCTCCTAAACTCTTCATACTATAATTATTTTTGTTCTAAGGAGTAAAGCTTTAGTATCCGCATTCCATATTACTTTATAGTCTATTTTTATCTTTGAGAACTCTGCCTACTTTGGGCTTTTTAATATTTCGTAATGGTCAAAGGTAATCTAACTTACTATTGTTTCTAATGGAAATGTATCAGACTGTCACTAAAGCACCTAAACTTGAGAAGTTTCACTTTTTTAAACCCATTCAAATACAAGAATGTTAAGCCCACAGCATTTTGGTTCACCTCTGAAAGCCAGTGCCAGTGGATGGCATTTACATGAAAGACATGGAGAAACGTGGCTATACAAACAATGGAAACTTTTCTGTGCCCAATTATTTAATGATTAAAAAATGAAACCTTGTTTGCAATACAATCCTTATTACACAGCCTCGCGGGTTTCTGAATTTTTTCTAAATCAATCTGCCCTAGTGGTGACCTCTCAGCTGCAGAAATGAGTCTTTTGGCATGTGATCAAGATACAGTAGGTGTCTTGTGCGATGCTTTTAGAAGGCAAAGATGTTAAAACAGTCTTCATACAGGTGTTTCATAATGCAGGTGAGATGTGGAATGCTGTGCTACTCCTGAGAAAAACACATTTGGCTATTCCAGCTATTAATCCCCACTTACGAGCATGCTGAATCCAAAGAGGCATTTCATATCCTCAGCAATAGTATATACTTAAAAAAAAAAATATCTGTCTTTGTCTTCTACAAGGATCAAAAGTAGTGAATTCAAATTGCTGAGAGATGATCAGAAGGGGGCAGAATTGGTGATGAGGATCAGAGTCTCTACAGTAAATCATATATGTGCGAGACATAATTCATTCTCAATATTCCTTCAAGCTTTTAAAGATCTTGCATATAGCCATGTCCTGTAGTGCTTCTCTTTCATCTGAAAGCTACTGGCTTTAGAACTGAGATGTCTGCGTGAAGGATATGGTGTCAGATTTATCTACAGCAAAGCCTCCATTGATGTATGATTTCTTGGTCTCTGTTTCATCATTATCAAGTATTGTAGTTTCCAAGGCAAAAGGGTTGACTATGTTGACATCAGAGGAAACATCCATCTGTTCCAGTTCCTTTTTAGAGAGCTTCTCCACTATCCCAGTACCAAAGGCATCTCCCAAGACATTCACCATTGTTCTGAATCGATCTCTACGGAATAAAAAGCTCAGGCAAATCATTCTGTGTGTTACTTAGAAAATCCTTTTAGTAAATGTAAGTTATTGTAGAAAGTGGCTAACTTTCTACAATAGCTTTTTTTTTCCCCCGCAAAACAGATGCTGTATAATTCTAGAACTAAAATAAAAAATGTTGTAGAATGAGGAGTGACTTCCCAAATTAAGGGCTTTGTACAGGATGTGTAAAATTTTAAGTCACATCACTGGTCTATTAACAGCAGCAACCAAAGGGCTGTGCGCAGTCTTGAAGGGTCTTATGGGGAGTTTTTCTCAGGCCCCTAAGTATGCTGCACAGTTGGTTCACTTTGTGATGAGGCCACTTTTGATGGGAGGAAAGACTGCGGTAAAAAAAAGCAGAAGAGTCCACATTGTGTGTTCTGTCTTTTTGACAGTCATTTCCTCAGCCAGAGGAGTGCTTAGTATTCTGGCCCAAAGCCTTGTTAAAGGGTTGAAGTACAAAGTTTTCTTGATACGTTAAGGAATGTGATACTTTTCTACTTCTGATTTTTTCTATCAGGAGAAAAAATAATCTGCCACTACTTGGCAGAAAAGCCTGAAAATCATGCAAGATAGTAAATTTTGTAAATTGCCATGGGATTTGTCAAAAACAACACTGAAGTGAAGCAGTCCAAAACATGTTTTTCTACAACAGCTGCTGAACAACACCATGTATACAACCCCATGTGTATTCTCCATATGGAAGGGAAGTAACTGATAAGGAAAGGAAGTGAAATAAAATTCTGGTAGGAGTACTGTGACAAGTGAGCCACAGTGGAAACTCATCTTGCATAATATTTCTATTCTACCTCTTTATTAAAAACGTGGAAGATGTCTTCAAGGTTATGTAATAAAACTTTCGTAAGTTCAGAATTAACTAGAGGACTGTTAATGAGACACTACTAGCAGGTTTCAAAATAATGCATTTTAGGCATGAAGTACAAAAGGCAAGTGTTAATAATCTACATGGCATCAAGAAACGTATTCTGTCTGCTGAGGTGCAAATGCACTGCCAATGACCCTTGGTACATGTAATTAATCTTTAATTTTCTTTGTACAGCTAAACACTCTCATCTGAAAAAATATCTCAGTTGGAATTAAGAGATGGTTCCAATTATTCATCTGTGTCATGGTGGAACAGGTAGTTCATTCATGGAACACCTAAATGTGTCTAAGAACTTCAAACTTCTAACCTAGAGAAAAGAAAGGGTCCATAATATTATGTCTGTGGTGGAATTTAGGAATGACTATTCTCTTTTTCTGTCAATCTCACTTCTATAAAGGAATTAGAGGGTATCAAATAAAATGATCGGGAAGTGTTCTGAAAAAAACAAAGCAAAATACATTCTATACAACACGTTGAAAGATTGTGGAATTCATCTTCACATAACTTATGGATGCTTCAAAGTGCAATAAGAAAATTTAACGTAAAAAGAAATCCAATGAGAACTGTTAAGAAAAACAAAAAAACAAACAAAAAAAACCACCTCTATCTTAAGAACTCTGAGTAACAGCTTCCTTGAGGCTGGGGAATGGTATCAACACGCAATTTTTCTGTTCTCACTTTTCTTTTTTATGCCTTCTCTAAGCCACTGGCTTGTACAGATCTTCCCTATCCTTAGCCAAACTAAATGACTAGAAAAAAGCTTGAGAAAACTAAATGACTGTGCAGTATGGCAAACAAACCTATTAGACATTGTTGCAGACAGCTCATGGAGAGAATGCACTGTAATTGGAGCTGTTTGATTTTTTGGGGTTTTCTTGAAAAATAATGTTATATTGCAATTGAGTTGATTCTTGAATTCTTTTCAGTCTTGCTCTACTGGAGATCAAGGCTTCTCCCCACATCTTGTGAAACTGAGTTAAACAATCAAATCAAATAAGTTTATCTGTGAAATACATAGGCTGCAGGCCAACAAATCCTTCAAGAAAATTATTGGGAAACATGGATAGGGAAAATAGATGGTTTTACTTTGAAGGTAAATGTAAGTATAAGAAAAGGAAGTGCAAAGACACAAAATGATTTTTATCTCTGCACTGGTACTGGTGAGTTAATGTTGAGTTAATGCAAATTAATGAGATCTCATTCTGAGCATTACAGCACAGACACTTTGGGAGAGAAAAAAAGCTTTATTATAAACTATAGTCCTAAAATAAGAAATCTTGTTGTTCTTTCCCAGTAAATCATGGGAGAAAGTTGGACACTGATTTCCTTTTGCAGAAGTAACATAAAAATGTCTAAGTTGAACACAGAAGACTTTAGGTTAAATGCCTCCCTTCAAAAAGGGCTTAATGCAACTGAGAGGTTTTTATGTGCTCTTTATGTGCTCCAGTGAAGTAGTTGGGATCAGGTATAACAAACGCTTTCCAAGTTTGCAAGTGTGCACCTGCTGGTTATGGGGCTCGGTATAGAAGAACCCTAGCAAAGTAATACTGGCAGAATAGACATACAGTCTGCAGTGTGTGTGCATATAGAATCAAAGACCACTGTGTCCACTGGTTAAACAGCACCTCTGGATGTGAGATTAATATCTGCCATTTCATGCTGCAGGATTTCTGTCAGAATTAAAGCTACTGTTATAACCAACCATAAGAAGAATATTCGTTCAATTTCTACTGCAGACCTATAGGACATGATTTACTGTCTTCTCATGCAGACCCACATGCTTGTGTAAACATTTTAAAAAAATAATAATCTAATACTAAGTGCTTTAAACTTACAGAAGCCAGTCAACTGCAATGATCAGAGTAACGTCTTCAGCTGGCAGGCCAACAGCGCTCAGAACAATCACCATGGTGACAAGTCCAGCTTGGGGAACACCAGCAGCTCCAATGCTGGCTGCTGTAGCTGTGACACTAAATCCCAAATAAAGCCAGGAAAAAACATTCAGAGTAAGTGTTGCTTACAGAAACTCTATTTTCTGACACAAATAGACATATTTCACTACCAGAAAGCTGTTCTTATGTTCTAGTTTTTCTGTGGAGCATTATCTACCTGGTTCGGGAACAAGACTATGAGGTGTGTTTGAATCATAGAATCATAGAATCATAGAATCATAGAATCATAGAATCATAGAATCACCAAGGTTGGAAAAGACCTAAAAGATCATCCAGTCCAACTGTTCACCTATTCCCAGTAGCTCCCACTAAACCATGTCCCTCAACACAACATCCAGCCTTTCCTTGAACACCCCCAGGGTCGGTGACTCCACCACCTCCCTGGGCAGTCCATTCCAGTGCCTGACCACCCTTTCTGGAAAGTAATACTTCCTAAAGTCCAGCCTGAATCTCCCCTGCCGTAGTTTGAAACCATTCCCTCTATCGTATCACTAACGACATGAGAAAAGAGGCTGACCCCAGCTCACCACAACCTCCCTTCAGGAAGTTATAGAGAGCAATGAGGTCTCCCCTGAGCCTCCTCTTCTCCAGGCTGAACATTCTCAGCTCCTTCAGCCTCTCCTCATATGGCCTCTGTTCTGGACCCCTCACCAGCTTTGCTGCCCTCCTTTGAACACGTTCCAGGGCCTCAATGTCTTTCTTGCAGTGAGGGGCCCAAAACTGGACACAGTATTCGAGATGCAGCCTCACTAGTGCTGAGTACAGGGGAAATCAGTGCCATCTCAGACACTGTGTAGGAGAACACATATCTCATGGGCAGGCAATCAGTTGTTACAGTAACAAATGTTAATACATAGGTAAATGTATATCTAACCCACAAATTAGATAGATCCCAGGAAGAGTTAGGTTTCCAAGTGTTTTGTTTGAAACTAATGGCATTTTCCAGAACAATGCTGCACATCCTGGCCCATCCTACCTCCTCATCAGGTCACATAGGCAAGGTCATGGAATAAGAAAAGACAATGTTTCTGGATTTTACTATGGTTTGAGTGATAGTTTCAACTTTTTTCCATGAGCTATCCAAAGTAAATATAGAATTCATTACTAAAAAAATAAAAAATAAAAATTAAAAAAAAAACCCACAGCAACACAACATCAACAAAATTTATGTGATAAGCTTAGTCTTACCTAATGGTAACTATCTGGCCAATATCTAGTTCCAAGTCATTCAGTTGTGCAATAAATACAGCTGCTACTGCCTCGTAGAGAGCTGTGCCATCCATGTTGATAGTAGCTCCAACTGGAAGTACAAATCTGGTAATTCTTTTGTCAATGAAGTTTTTTTCTTCTGCACATCGGAAGGTGACGGGCAAAGTTGCTGAACTGGCACATAAATAAACACAAAAAGTAAATGCAAGTAGGGGTGTACCATATCCTTTATCTTTCCTTTTTCTGAGAGCCTGATTTGCTCTAAGAAACAAAAGGAGATCTACATCAGATAGGAAGGCTACATTATGAAACTTAAGAGTTGAGTTTTAAAGCAATGTAAGCTTTGCTCTTTCTTCTAATTGTGGGAGGAAATAACAAAGTCTTAATTAAGCATTAAAATATTCACTATGTATGTAACTTTGAAGTAGACTACAGGGTTCTACATCTGGGAAGGAATAATCCCATGCACAAGTATAGGCTGGGGGCTGGACTACTGAAAAGTAGCCCTGCAGAGAAGGACCTGTGAATTCTGCTTGACATCAAGATTTGTGAGTATAGAATGGCAAAAAAACTATTTCCTGAAGATATGTTGCAAAGGGCAGATTCTAGTTTTGTAAAAGGCCAGCAGAGCTTCACTGCAATCTGTACTGTCATTTTGGGTACTGCAGAAACGTAGCATTTCAACTTCCATGGAATTTACAATTGTCCAGGTGAAATCAGGTTGTTTAACAAAGTGGTAATAAAATCAGAGTACAAATAATGCAATTAGTACTAAGAACATTACAGAAGATAAATCTTTTTGTTTACCTGGAAGAAATCATGAGGGCTGTCAGAAGTGCCTGAGCCATCCCCATGGCAAATCGAAAAGGATTTTTCCTTACTATTATAAAGTAGATCAGTGGCAGAATTATAGTGGAATGGATTGCAAGTCTGGAAAACAAGATCGACTAGTTAAACAGATTGAGTTCTTTAGATTTATGATTTAAAATTTTACAATTTAGAGAGTAAGACTGTCAAAAAAAAAAAATGAGGTTCTTTCACTTTTTTGTAAGGAGGAAGAGATTATTATTTGTATCTCTTTCCAAGGTACAGCAAGGATTAATCAATATATTTGAAATACTTTTAAACTGCTGAAGAAAAGTAAAGTAACAAATAATATTTAAACCAATATTCATACAGCTATTTCAAATATGATAAAACATTTGTTTGTTTTATGGCTGGCTCTATATACTGGCTCTATATACTGACTCTATATACAAAACTGACATACAGATGGAGGAGCCAATGAGGAAGGATGTGCTGCTGGACCTTGTACTAGCAAACAAGGAAGCACTGATTGGAAATGTGAAGGCTTGGGACATCCTTGGCTGCAGTGACCATAGGATTGTGGAATTCAGTATCCTGTGAAGAGGAAGTGGAGCAATACAATAAGATCACAACCCGGGATTTCAGGAGAGCTAACTTTGATCTGTCCAGGGACCATAGTGGAAGAATTTAAAGGAAAGGGGCCCTAAAAGAAAAAGGAGTCCAAGACAGTTCATTAGTATTCAAGCAACACTTTCTCCATTCTCAAGAATGATGCATTCCTATCAATAAGAAATCAAGAAAAGGGGACAGGAGACCATATCTAATGTGGACCAGGCTGCCCAGGCCCCCATCTGACCTGGCCTTGAACACCTCTGGGTATGGGGTACCCACAACCTCTCTGGGCAGCCAATTCCAGCATCTCACCACTCTCTCGGTAAAGAGTTTCCCACTGATATCCAACCTTCCAAATCTTATATCTCTGATATCCAAATCTTCTCTTGTTCAACTTAAAACCATTTTCCCATGTCCTGCCGTTATCTTCTCTTGAAAATCCTTGCAACAAGCACCCCAGGGTCTTGAAGGAGCTAGCTAGTGTGCTTGCCAAGTCACTTTCCATCATATTTGAAAAGTTATGACTGTCAGATGAAGTCCCCAGTGACTGGAAAAAGGGAAACATCACTCCCATTTTTTCAGAAAGGAAGAATGGAAGACCTGGCAATCTATAGGCCAGTAAGCCTCATGTCTCTGCCTGGGAAGATCATGTAGCAGATATTCCTGGAAGCCATGTTAAGGCACATATGAGATGAGGAGGTGACTTAAGACAGCCAGTACAGCATCACAAAGGGCAGATCATGACTGATCAATCTGGCAGATTTCTATGACATGGTTTAATGGGTATGGTAGTGATGGGTTAGCAGTTGACTAGATGATCTCAGTGGTCTTTTCCAGTCTTAATGATTCTACTATTCTACGATTTCACTATAAGATGGAATGATGGGATCTGTGGACAGAAAAGAAGTAACTGGTGTTGTCTATCCAAACTTCTGCAAGGCTTTTGACATGGTTTTGCACCACAACCTTATTTCAAAATTGGAAAGAGATGGATTTGAGCATGGACTATTTGATGAATGAAGAATTGGTTGGATTGTCACACCCAGAAGGTTGTGTTCAATGGCTCTATGTTCAGGTAGAAGCTAGTCATAAGTGGCACTCCCTGAGAGACTGTTTTGGGACCAGTCCTCTTTACCATCTGCACAAGTGACATAGATAGTGGAATTGAGGTCATTCAAGCAAGTTTGCAGATAACACTAAGCTGAGATGTGCAGCTGATACAGTAGAAGGAAGGGATGTCATTCAAGATGATCTGAAGAATCTTGAGAAAGGGGTCCATGTTGAACCTAATAAGGTTCAACAAAATATTGCACTTGGGTTGGGGCATTCCCAGATATGTGTGTAGACTAGGAGAAGAACTTACTGAGAACAATCCTATGGAGAAGGACTTGTGGGTCCTTGTGTGTGAAAAGCTAGACATGAGCCAGCAGTGTACACTGGGCTGTAACAAAGGAGGACCTGCTAGCAAGGTATGGGAGGTGACTGCCCCCATATACTCTGTTCTCGTGAGGCCTCATCTGAAATATTGAATCTGGGTGTGGGGCCCCGAGCACAGGAAAAACATGGAGTTATTGGAGTGGGTCTAGTGGAGGCCACAAAGATTATCAGAGTGCTGAAGCATCTCTCTTTAGCCAGGCTGACAAAGCTGGGATTGTTCAGCATAGAGAACTGGGTCCAGTATTGTTTATTTTATTCATCAGAGACTTGGGTAAAGGGTAGATTGGTAGGGTAGATTGCATCCTCAACAAGTTTGCTGATGATGCAAAGCTGGGAAGAGGGCTGATAGCACAGAAGACTGTGCTGCCATTCACAACAATCTCAACAGGTTAGAGAGATGGGTGGACAGAATTTCTCTTGAAATTCTGTACAGGCAATTACAGGGTTCTGCAGCTGGGGAGGAATATTTCCATGCAGAAGTACAGACTGGGGGCTGGACTACTGGAAAGTAGCCCTGCAGAGAAGGACCTGTGAATTCTGCTTGACATCAAGTTGACCATGAGCTAGTAATGTGCCCTAGTGCTCAGGAAAGCCAATAGTATACTAGGTTATATTAGAAAGAGTACTGCCAGCAGATCAAATGAGGTAAAACATCTCCCCCATCAGCTCTGGTGAAGTCTCACCTAGAGTACTATAAATAGTGCTGGACCCCCTAGTAAAAGAGACACACAGCTTCTGGAGCGAGTCCAATAAAGGTCTATGAAAGTCATTAATGGGATTGGAGCATGCAAGGAAAGATAGAGGCATCTGGGCCACTACACTTTGGAGAAGCAAAGGCTCAGAAGGTACTTGATCAATGTAGGTAAGTATCTGAAGGAGAGGTATTAAGAGAATGGGGCTAGAATCTTCAGAGTGGTGCCAAGCAAACAAGAGGCAATGGGAACAAACTGAAACACAAGAAGTTCATCTGAACATGAGGAAAAGCTACTGTGCAGGTAACCAAGCACTGGAAGGGAATGCCCAGAGAAGTTATGTAGTCTGCTTCCCTGCATATATTATTCAAAAGCTGTCTGGACACAATCCTGGATAACATGCTCTAGGGGACTCCACTTGAGAAGGGAGGTTTGACTAGTTGATCTCAAAGTTTCCTTCCAGTCTCAACTACTCTGTTATTCTGTGATAGTTCAGACACTACAAATGAAATACATATCACTCTACCATCTTTCATGTTGCAAGGTGCTGAAATACTGTCTTTTGAAACAATTACTTTTCATTATGAATTAATTCTGTTGATATGCAAAAGATCAAACTGTCCTCTTGGCTTTATACATTACTCAGGTTTATTTGCTTGGATATTGAGTGTGTCTTAATTCGTGAGTATTAACATTAGAGGTAAACAGCCTGCTACAAGTATATTTGAAATGAAATATACACAAAATGTTGTGCAATACTTTCTGTATTCCAGGGTCACAAATAATGGCAACATCAGCTCTTCTTGAAGATAAGTTATCATAGCATGGAAACACAATGCCCAGAATTGTGGATGTATGACCTTTGGTTTTTTATTCTGTCCTCACAAGATGTTCCTGTGAACAATACTATGTTGTAATAACACTTTATGATTTTAGAGTATTTGATAAAGACAGAAATATATCATGGTACTACCTGTTCTGCCAACATCAGGGAGTTAACAAAGCTGTAGCTATAGTATAGAAATCCTCAACTCCATAAAAAAACAAGCAAACAACAACAATCACATCACCTTGAAATCTAACTATGCATCCTGTATTCACGAAAGGGTTTATTCAGTGAAATGTAAATGAAAGCATACAATATGCATCAATAAAATTTTGCTAAAATGTTACAATATGAAACCTACTGATTCATACAGTGGTTCCCGAGAACCAGCTGAATTCTTCAGAACATAGAAAAACTATATAGGCATGAATGCTGTTGGGTGTCTTAACAAAACTGTTGATGAAAAACTTTTCAAGTAATATTTATTTCCAGAAACAAAAATTTCCAAACAAATGTACTTTTTAAATTTCAGATTCTCACTTTACTACTGCCAGCATGAACTTGGCATTACCCAAAGCAATGTTTGTGCATATTAGTTCCAATACTACAGATTATCATGAAGAAAAAAAAAAATTAGAAGTAATATTTATTTGCATGTATGAAATGCAACTGACAGCAAGAAGCAGAAGTTTTTGTTTCTCAGATTGACATACTTTACAGCACTCAAGAAATGTATCTGCCTGGCTGCTTTCAGATGAGACAAACAAACATGAGTTTGCTTGCTGTAGCTTCCTTGTTTTATTAATTCCTCAGATTAAGAGACCTTGGCAAATGCCTCCTACTTTGATTTTTCTCCTTTGTGACTGCTAACACATCCTGCTTATGACGCTGCTATGATAGAAAATTGATAGGCTGAAGATACTTAGTGGCCAACTGGAGCAAAGGCATTAGAGCAGGCAAGTCCAACCTGGGACCTGCAGGCTACATGCAGCTTATCACAGCCGTTCCTGGAGCTGCCCTTTGTCCTGCAACATCATGGCAGTGGCTCTTCCCCACTAAACAGCCTGGTACAGCCCCAAACACACACCCATTGTTCAGCAACAAGCAAACATTAAATGGAAACTTAAATAAAGCAGCATTATGTGTAACACGAACATAAATTGCACTCATTTCTGTAACAGTTTGGTAAAGTGGAGATTCAGTGATATTTTTAAAGCTTCCTAGGAAGTCGCACATCTCAACTGATTTTTCGAAATGCTGGCTTATGCTTAAATGTAAACACAACAACTTTGAATTAAATATTATTATCTAGCAGAAAATTAGGCAGAAAAGAGATCCTTCTTGATTTTTTAATGAATTTATTGAATTTAAGATTAATATATTCCTCTTCTCTTTCTTTGGTTGTCAGAAAGCTTGTGAACAACTTTTGAAGAAAATAGCATGCAGGAGATAGAAGCTACTGAACAACTTTGGATAGAGCTTCTAGACAAAACACAAATAAGTTACTGTATAGTGAAGGATACTGTATAGTGAAGGAATTATAGGAATGAATGCTAGGGCAATGAACCAAGGCAGCCTAGAATCTATGCTTCACTGAACTGAAAATAGCAATTTAAATACATTTGATTTATTGGGTCCGTAATAACTATTTATCTTTCCAAAGAGATTTTTTGTTGTTTTTTTGCAGTAATATTCTTCAGAGAATATAATGATCTAGTGTTACAATTTATATCATTTAAAGCAGTTAAGCTGCCCCTTCTCAATTTTCAAATCTGCAAATGTTTTCTGTCAGTGCCTCTGCCTACTATTGCTCTCCACAATCAGAGGTCTACAGAAAGAATAGCAAAGGTGTTTTGATGCTTGGCTACGTTATGCAGTTAACAACTGCTGGTTTTGCAGCTTCAACAGCTACTTTTGTGTTGAAAGATAAACTGACAGCATGATCTGTCAGTATCAGCAATCTGCTCTGTGTCAAGGTGAGAAGTGCTCAAAGTCCTTTGGGCTTAGCATAATTTACTGAGTATTGCATTCACAATGCATCTGTATAGGGAAGCAGAACTGACACACAGTGGATTCTGAGGTCCCATACTGATTCCCAACTTCATTCTGATATTCTTGTATGTTGAATAGCCTACAAAGCCCCTTTTTCCCAACTTCTAACTCTTTCCCAACTTCTAGTTTCTAAAATTGGAAACTTTTCTACTTTCAAAAATGCAATGACATAATCTATTCCAGCATCAAGGTGAGAAGATAAAATAATGAATACAACAATAGATAAAAAATACTCATTTTTAAAAACAAAACATGATTTTCACTGTCAGGAATTTTTGTATTTGACCTAGAAAACACCGGTTATTGTGGAAAATTAAACTGCAATCAACTGAATCCCCAAAATTGTATATATTTAATATCATTTTTAGAATATGACATACCCACTTAATACTGTAGCCATATAAAGACCCAGTTTACGAAAGATTTCCCAGTCCTCAACTTCTATTATCTTCCCAGCAATTAAAAACACAATACCAATTGGCATATACCTAGAGAGCAAAAATAGAACAATTAAAATTCTATTCTCAGAAATACTTCATGCTCATTAAATAATAATGTCTTGCGCAGTGTAACTTTTTAAAACAGTCTGAAGAATTTCCTCTGATACTGTATTATACATCTGATTTTACTTGCTTGAAACAAAATTATATTAGAGGTGAAGAAAAAATACTGAGAAAGAAGAAATTTAACTCTGTATATAGTCTGTCTGCATGGCATGGTGTCGCAGAATACACAGAAGTTGGGAAAAAGAGCGAGTTTTGTCCTACAGTAGAAAATGAGTGGTTTAACCTTATTTGAAAGTGGATGTTTTCAGGGCTGAAGCCAAAGTGCTCTCTGAAATCACAGAGATGTATAGGACTCTTGCTCTTCCAGGAGTTGTCCTATAGCACTAGAAGCCATGTGTGAATCACTTGCATAAGGGAATGATTTTAATATGTTGGGATAGCACATAATCAGTGTGTTTCCTGATGGAGGGCTTCTTTCCACAGTGAGTGCACAGAGCCACTTCTAGCAGTAATGAATAGCTGCATGGGCTGTGGCCTGCAACAGACAAAATCAAAGGCAAAATCAAAGGGCTTACACTAGCACCAGCTCTGCTTCATTTCTTTTAGCTCCACAGAGAAGGCTGTGACACAGACAAGATGAAAATTTCCAATTAATCTATAAATCTGTGAATTTATGAAAAATATATATTTAAAATTTTTAATTGCTAATTAATAAAAATATCTGTGCTTCACTTCATGAATGAAGTAGTACTTTCCCCCTGTAATGGGGGATGCAAATGTGGATTCCTGGTTTCTGCTAAGCTCCGAAAGGGTGAAAGCAGAACTAGTTCCTCACATTGTCAGTGTCCAAGGTTACTTTATTTACAGCAGCAGCTCCCATTCTAGAGACATACTATATATGTCTATAGCTACCAACTTGGGCACATGAAAAACAAAGGATAGTCAGCATATGGGGAGAAACCTTTATCTGTATCCTATGCTAACTCTAGAGCATTGTTAGTTGCACAGTGAGGCAGCCTGTTCCACAGAGCTTTAACTCAGTTGGGAACTGGATGAGCTATATAGCTCAGAGCAAACTGCAGAGATAGAACTACCTCTCTCTAAAGGTAGAAGTGTGCAGCTTAGCTTTCAATATGCTTACTGTTTTGCAGAAACTTCAGTGTGCTGGAATGGAGAGAAGATCCATGAAAGGAAGAGATCTGCTAAGTTACTTTCAGAGTGAAACAGGCAAGTATGAGCAGAGAACCATAGTAAAATAATGTGCTTGCATGTAGGATCAAAATCTGGAAAGAAGAGAGTGCTTTTATGATGCTCATCCTGTAATTGTGATCTGCTCAACAACTACTGTAGAGACACAAGTTTTGTTAATTGCTATGAAGTCCAATCAAATACTATCAGATGAGGTGCTGCACTTTTTTTATTATTATTATTTCTATCTGGGAACATTATGTGAGAATATTTTGAGAATGTTGTCTCACAAAGCCTACAAGTACAACGTAAATGATGCCAGCTGTATCTTGCATATCACTTCACATTTTGCTCAGTTGTGTGGCTTGTACATTAATTTATATTTCTAAATGAACTTAACTCCAAGAACAGTTACTCTGTGAACACAATAGGGAATAGTGTTCAAGACTGAAGAGGCCATGTTGGTACTGATTTACAGCCCTCCAATCATCAGCACAGATACACAGTCTTGATATGATCTTCCAGTGAGAATGTCTGAAAAATTTGTGTACTAGTGGCACTGTTCTTTTAGTATACAGTAAGTAGAAGCCTTGTTTCTAGTTTCCTGAAAAGGATCAAAATATGGAGAATGAAACTGCTTACCAGCCTTCCTTTAAAGCTGCTTGCTGTAAAGCACATATACAAAAGCAAACATGAAGTATAAGTCCACTCCTATATTTTCACTTAAAGACGAAATTCACTTAAATAAATTGTTAGAACATGCCAGTATGTCCTTGGACTTACCACATAATTATCTGAACTATCCTCATTGTAGCTTCATTCAGTGCATTGAAAAAATCCACTAGAACTTGTCCTTTGTCTCCCATTTTTCCAATAACCATTCCAAAAACAAGACAAAAGACGATCAAGCCAAGAACATTGATGCCATCAGAATACGCGCCCACGATCTTATATTCTTGAGTTTTATTCTATATATCAGATTCAAGGGAGAAAAGTTACAATCTGAAAACACTGAGTTTACTTTAAAGTATTCTTAGATGAAAACATAGTTAGACTTTTGAAAAGACATAGAGCTTTACCCCAATCACTCTACTCTGGGAGCCTTTAAAAGTTGTGTATTTTAGACCTATGCAGCAATCCAACCAAATCTTAGGTGAGAGTAAAGCAACTTTCTATAGACTTCCAACACAAATAGTAAGGTCTGGTATACTCAGTCATGCCTTCAATATATTCAAGACTTACTTCCTGCTATGGGGAACAAAACCCAACTGACAGAGAATCCCTGTGGTCACTTCCATGCAAGTCAAGGTCTTTTGCCCAGATTTATTAAAACAGTCAATTGTGTAAGAACTGGGATGATGCTGTGCACTTTTGCCTTCAGTTAGAAATCTATTTTTCAGCTGAAATCAGTGACACTGCATAATTTATAGAAGAATATAACATAAAAAACACACTACCTAGGTAGGCATTTGCACACTCCTCAGTTTGTGTAATATTCATATATGAAAGACAGAATTGCTTACTGCATTCAAAATTTAATTCATGTCCTTTCATATAGCCCATATTCTCATGATCTTAATACATATGAGATGAAATTTGGAAAAGGTACAGTAAAAAGAACATTGACCTGCTATTTTCCACAGTTCTATGTTTTCAGAATATTGAATTCCTTTCTTACTCTAATGTAATTAAAGGATTTACAAACTTTCAAAACCCATAAGCATTTCAGACCTCAAATCAGAAACTTGCTAGACATCTTCTTTACTTTCGTCTTTTTTTTATTCTTTCTAGAATAGCAAGCTATTACATAACAAATGTTTTCTACTTTTCATTTCACAAAATTTTATTATGATTTTCTGTTTATTTATTTATGGGATACTCAGTTACTTCACTGCTGCTTAAGCACACTGCTGATACATATGCAAACTTCCAATAATAAGTGTTTTCCTTAATTTCTCAGCAAATTGACAATTAATTTGCATATACATTTAATGGAGGATATAAATCCACTGTTTCCTTATATAATACACTAAACTTAATATTGCTTATTAACGAATGGAGTCCTCACGTTTTCTTAAGCCTACCTGAAAATCCTCAAAATTACCACTAGAATTTACTTCATGTTATGCCCTTCCTAAAATATATCTATGTACCATCACAGAATCACAGAATCAGAGAATGGCCAGGGTTGTAAGGGACCTCAGGGATCATGAATCTTCAACCCCCTGCCACATGCAGGGCCACCAACCTCCCCATTTAATACTAGACCAGGCTGCCCAGGGCTCCATCCAATCTGGCTTTGAACACATCCAAAGACGAGGCATCCACAACCTCTTTGGGTAGCCTGTTCCAGCACCTCACCACTCACTCTGCAAAGAATTTTCCCCTGACATCCAACCTAAATCTTACCTCCCTCAACTTAAATTTCCCCTTGTCCTGCTGTTGTCTATCCTTTCAAAGAGTTGATTCCCCTCCTGTTTGTAGGCTCCATTTAGGTAATGAAAGGCTGCAATGAGGTCACCCTGCAGCCTTCTTTTCTCCAGGCTGAATAAGCCCAGCTCCCTCAGCCTGTCTTCATAGGGGAGTTGCTCTAGCCCACTGATCATCTTTGTGGCTCTCCTCTGGACCCTCTCTCCACGTTTTTTGTACTGGGAGCTCCATACCTGGACACAGTACTCCAGATGGGGCCTCACAAGAGCAGAGTAGAGGAGGACAATCACCTCCCAGTCCCTGCTGGCCACCCCTCTTTGGTGGAGCCCAGGATACCATTTGCTTTCTGAGCCGCAAGGACACACTCCTGGCTCATGTTAAGTTTTTCATCCATCAAGATACCCAGGTCCTTCTCTGCAGGGCTGCTCTCAAGGATTGTTCCTTCCAGTCTGTATGGATGCCTGGGATTCCTCTGGCCCAAGTGCAAAACTCTGCACTTCGCCATGCTGAACCTCATCAGGTTCACCCGGACCCACCTTTCAAGCCTGTTGATGTCCCTCTGAATAGCATTCCTTCCTTCTACCATGTCAACCACATGTCAACCATGTCCTTACTTATCTCAATCACTAACTTCAATATCAGTACTTAAACTGATCTTCTAAAAAAGATGGAGATTGTCTTATACATGGTCTGATAAGGATAGGACAGGAAGGAACATTTTAAACCTAAAAGAAGGGAGATTAAGATTAGATATTAGGAGGATATTCTTTACTCACAGAATGGTGAAGCACTGGCACAGGCTGCCCAGGGAAGCTGTGGATGCCCCATCCCCGGAAATGTGGAAGGCCAGTTTGGATGAGTCCTGGGCAGTCTGATCTAGTGAATGGCAACTCTTCTCATGACAGGGGGGTTGTAACTGAACAGTCTTTAATACCCCTTCCAGCCCAAGCCATCCTGTAGTTCTATGATAACAATTACATCAGATTTAATCTATATTCTTCCTTCTCACTTCCCATATTACTATGAAATATAGCAATAAAAGTCGCACCTCCAAAACTTCTGCTGTCGTAGCAGTTGTAACAAGTTCTTCTGTAAATGTGGAGCCATTTTTATCCACACCAGTTGTATCTTCCACTTTTTCACGTTTGGTTTTGTACTGAAAAAGTTGTTTCAAAAACAAGAGGTGATTTAGAAATATGAGGAAACTGAAGAACAAACAAAGGCATAGCTGCCCACTAAAAATAAGGGGAAAATGAAGCAACCTGACATACACATACATTATTTCCCAATTAATGTGAGCCACCATTTTCTTTTTTCTTTGGATTTTGTGTATGAAACAAGTGATTCACAGTAATCTGCTGTAAATTTTGCTCTTCAGATTCCTAGGCATCTGGTGGATCTGCTGCAGTCTTGCAGGGGATAAGACATAGCTCCAGTCAAAGACAAAGCCTTTTTTTGCTGAGATGTAGTCTCATCAACATTCTTTCCAAGTATGGAAACTCTATGGAAACACTATGGAAACTCAGCCACTCTAGAACAGGTCTGTTGTGTTGATGCACCTGATTCAACCCACACTGCTTTCATCTTCTACACCAATGGAGCAGGTGTGATAGTCTCACTGTCTATAAAGGATGCTTACAGCATTCCACTATCAGGATAGTTACACCAATATTGCTATTATGTGGCCCATAAAAAGATGAACTACTTTTTTTTTTTTCTAAAAGGTTTAGTACAGGATTTTATAGCTCAGTGAGGCACAAGATTTGTCCTTAAAGTTGTTAACATATGAAATCATCTGCATGGAGAAGTTTTGTAAACTGGAAGACACTTAGTGTTGTGAGCAGAAGGACAGTTAATATAATTATCTGATGGGGAAGGCAAACTATCTCACATACAAACTTCAAGTAACTGGTAGGTAGCCACTAGGGAAAACAAAAAGGAAAAACAGAGATAATCACAAAACACAGTTGGATATGTTTATGGATTAAGATGACTGAATCTGAAGTAAGACTATACAGACAAGGGTTTCCTTTTTCATCTTCCAAATCTCACTGCTTCCAAAAGAGGTGTCTCCTTTCTCTCAAGATCAATCATCAGTTCTAGAAATGGACACTGCATGTGAGATAAAGTGGTGTGAGGGCTTAGTTACACAAATTTCATCAATAATAGAGAATTTTTAAGAAGAAGTAAATTCTCACAACATGGTTCTTGTAATTCTGCCCATCCCAGAATGGAAAAATATATTAACACAATGGCTGATTTCTGCATTCAAGTCCTAAAAAGGATATTTTTGCAAAGGTTGATCTGGAGCTGACAACAGATTTTTTATCATAATGGATACAAAACCAAGATGCCTTAAAAAAAGTATTTATATGGGAGACTAAGTTAATCCTGGCATTCTAAGAATTCTTGTATTACATAATTTTGGGAGACATAAAAGAAAAATTTGTAGTCAGCAACGAAAATTACAGTAACAAAAAAACGGTATTTAAACTTACCTGTTGAAAACAGGCCTGGACAAGATTTTCTGGGAACATATTCCTATTTTAAAAGTAGAGGTACTTTAACATTAGACTACAAACACTGCTTATCTAAATAAAATGATAAAATCTGCTGCTTGACAGATCAGATTGTGCTTCTTTACCCAGAGAAAAATGTAGCTTGCGCTGACAGATTCAATCCTGAAAAATCAAAGATTCAGGACTTCTAATGATCAGTCTGTTTCTGTACTTTGAATTTTTTGAGCTTATTTTTCAATATTTTATTTTTCTGCTTGCTAGCTACTACACTTTTTTTTTCTTTTTTTTTCTGCTGTGTCACCTCCACCAATTGTTCAAGGAATACAGGAGGCAGTTTGAAGTCTTTCAGGTGACTTGTAAAATGTATGTTGGATAAAAAGAATATGGAAGTACCACATATTTAATGTTCTATTGTAGTTTTGAAATCATAAATTAATCTAGATGATGAAAGATTTCCATTTGTTATTCCAACATCAATTTTTCACTGAAATGTAAGGAAATTAGATCAGAAGCAATGCAACCCAGTTGCATGCCTCCTTTCTGGTGCCCAATTTCAACATTCAAACAATTGCAGAAAACAGATGTTTATTGAATAACCAATCTGGTACAGAGAAAGTCCATTTCTATAATGCAGGAGATTTTTTTACGTCTTTTTAAGATCTTGTACAAACTCTTTGGCTTCATTTTTTAAGTTTTTAAAGTAAAATTTAATTGAAAGCAAGAGTAGTTTTTACAAGCTTGGGATTTTCACCAGTCTTTACATGATAGTTTGGATTTGGATCTTAAATCTGAATAATATGTAGAAAAAATAATCGTAATTCCCTTTAAACAGAATTTTAAATTTCAACTGTGACTTCTAATTTACAGTCTTACATTTGTTTAGTATAAATTGTAGTAAAAACCCAAAGTAGACTAAATTATGGTTCACTCTGCTTCTTGTTATAGAAGGATGTTTTTATGCAATGATTTTCATCAGTTCTTTTAACGTGCATGGACATATTAATGTGGAAGTTACTGATAACAGACTGCATTTGGTTTTCTTAAGCAGTTGATCACACAGCACACCAATTTATTCCTGCTGCAAATTATCACAAGGAATTAAGTGAACCTTCCAAGGAACTGCAGGATGAGATAGAACCTGAGACAACTGTGGATTGTCAGATGTGTGGCTATGGGATTGAGATCTGTTCATGCCATAGAGGTATACCTTGATCTGCACTGGGACATATGCACCAAAGGGCCACAAACATTTGCTATTAAATACGATTCTTTCAAGCCATGTACATACATACACCTATACATGGGTTTATACGTACATACAACAAATGTCGAACAACTGTGAATCTGGAATTGTATCTACAAATGTCAGTCACATTTCATGAAATTAAGAATGCTAAGGTCACTGTTAGATAGAATGCAGTTAATCTTACGTGATGGATTATGTAAAAATTCTAGAGAGTAGGAATAGTGATATAGAATAGAGAACAGAGGCAGTTGGAAAAAAAAAATCCTCAGAAACATTTGTGAGGAAACAGTGAGTACTTAGCCACTATTACTGTTCTTGTTGATTTTACCAAATTCCTTAAATAAATTAGAATTTGTTTAGTTCCAATCAATCCTGAAAATCTGCTCAAATCTTTTCCAGAGTTTTCTAGGGGATGCTTCACTCTAACCATTTTACATATCTATTATATACCAGGACATTACACAGAAAAGACTTGTGATAAAGTTCCCTTAGAAAATGTTGATGCGACATATTTTAACAAACCACTTGAAACTTGCTCTAAAATGTCAAACCTGCTAGCAAACAAGTTATTCTCTCCTTATTCATTCCAACATCATTGGAAAGCATGTTTATTGTATTATGCATTATGACTTTTTAATTATTATTTATTTATTATTTATTTATTATTTATATGCTTTTAATTATTATTATAGTAAACAATTTTACACACAATTACATTATTCCACACCCCAAAACATGGAAACAACAACCACAAAAAAAAAACAACTCACCTGATCAGATCCAGCATGGCATCAACAGTACTGACCTCCGGGGTGCTGCCCACTCTGTCTATTTCATCTGCTGTTTGAGGTACTCCAGGTTTAATGGTCACAACTAAGACAATCCCTACAGAAGGAGAAGTAGGGGAAGAGCTCACATTGCAAGCAGAGACAGTGGTGCCTCTTGCTAATGTAAAGCATCCTGTATAGCAAATTCTTCATGAGTTAAATTCATCAAATTCTATTTGTTTCAGTAAAACTAGTCTATAGCTAGTGATGTATAATGTATATACATCTATAATGTAACCTAAGAAACTTATGTTTTACTTTGAAGCAGAATAAAACAAAAATTTATTGGCAGAAAATGTTAGGTCTAACCTTGTGACTATAGAAATCAGGAACTAACTTTTAATTGACATTAGTGGCTTCATTTTAGGCATTTTACATGAAATACTAGTCTTTTCCAGATATACACTTTTTTTGTTTGTTTGTTTTTTAATCCAAACAAACAAAAAGTAAATCAAACTACTAAATCTCACTGCAGCAAGGACAAGGTATCTAGATGTCCTTCAGCAAGATACAAATATAAAATTTTCTAATAACAGCCGTAAATAAAAGCAGAATTTCATTTGTGTAAATTTGTACAGTAAAACAAGTAATATTTAACCTCTGGAGGTTGTTCAGTTTAATCCCTCTTCCAGGGCTGGCACAATTCCAAAGATCCATGTCAGTCTTTATTAAGCCTTCCTCACTGTGTATTCGTTTGTAATTTCCAGACAGATGAGATACTATCCTACCCAGTGACATATTATTCTCTATGAATGTAACATCAAGGAATGATTCAAGTCTAAATGTCTGTATCACATCAGTACATGATTTTTTTTCTATAGTTAAATATCACTTTGCAGACAACATACAATGCACATATTGTCCTTCAAATAACTATCCAACAGTTTATTTTCAGTAGGTGATAGTGTGATACCTGTGCACAGTATTCACTCAGAAAACAATGATAAGCCATAAGTGACATGGCAGCTGACAGCAGAGAGTTTAATTCTATTTGCTATTTAAAAACACAGCCTGAAGATGTCTAATTATGTAAATATATAAGATTTCAAGGCTTCTTGTAGGGAATGAACTTTCTGCAAGAGATACGGACTTCAGAGTTGTCAAGGTGGAGCCTGGAACTGGCAGAAAAGGTAACAACATTTTAAGAAGGGAACAGAGTGACAAGGACAGCAATATTTTCTCTCACTTTTTCAGGCAGAAAATACAGATACAGATAATACTTTCTTGCATGTGAGAATCTATCATATTGCTACTGAGGAAATTTACTTTGTAGTTAGGGAAGGCCTTAAAAAGGGCAAGATGTTCACTCCTATTTCCACTGCTGGTCACAGTTTACCTAACTAGACAGCTTTTAATCTTGCCTGAAATTAAAAGCAAAACTGCCTGCAATATACCTGTTGGATATGAACACAGTTCAACCATGAATAGCAGGACTAAATTTTCTGTGCATCTGGCTATAAGTGTGTATAATAATGTCTGCGTAATTCCTGTCTCTCCTCACCAGGCTGTCTTGGCAAATTAGTACTGTCACAGTACCATATACTTCTAGTTAGGCAATGCTGAGGATTTTAACATTATAACCTAATATTAGTACCTAATATTACAGCAATGACTGTAGTGCAGAAGTAATATACGACGGCTCGCAAACCAATCTTCCCTGAAACACTGGAATCCAAAGCAGCAACTCCTGAAAAAAGAACCACAAAACAAAATGATAAAAAATAGTCTAAGAAGAAATTCAATACTTTTGTGGAGGCTAAATTCTATTCAATAAATATTTCCTTATTCTAGATATTTCTTAACCGTTAATTGCCAGTTGCATTTCTGAAGAATCACTGTAACAGGCTTCTGCTTCTTAGCAGTGATTTACTGGATTTTTCTAGGAAAGTTAATGAGTATTTTCTGATTCCTTGATGTTGTTGAGGAATTAGACTTCTGTTTAACAAAATTACACTGCAATCTATTTGTCACTTAAATAATAAGTTCACTTTCATCAAATCTGTAATGTTTCAGCTTTAAAACTAAAGGCAGAAAGAAGGGAGCTGCTGAGGGCTGTTGTCACAGGCTGTTCAAACGCACACACAGACATACATGTCAGGCTTATTCCTAGCAGGTTTGCCTGTGTTAACAGGTTTAGTTACTTTTTTTTTTTTTTTCTAAGTTTCTTCTGCAGGCAGGCAGTACCCACTCTTCACTGGAAATTGAGGGCAGCTTTTGTTAAAGGAGGCAGGGAAAGTGCTGAGAAAGGTGTTGCTCTGTGGTCAGTTCAGCTTCTGGTAAAAAATATTATATAAGACTGCTTGGGAAATACCTTTTAATTGTTTAGAAGATTTACAGTACTGTCTGTAGGCATACAACTCAATAACCAGGGCAAAATGAGCATTCTGACTGTAAAACTTGACCGACTATAATCACACTAGTTAATAATTCACTACTATATTTTTATTACACATTTGTGATCCTTTTATATTTTTATGTTTATTGAGTCAGATTATCAAACACTGGCCATATTCTCTTTTATAGGAAAGCAAAAATACCATGAGGATATTTAGTCCCAGAAATGCATAACTTTGTGTTAAGAATGAAGTTTCAGAAGCTAGGGAGGAAAACACTGACAATTTCCAATGATAAACTTTCTGATCTTTGAGCTCAGAAGGGATTGCAGCAAGCATACTTTAACTGTGTGTTAAAACCTGTTTCAAAAGATATACTACAGCAGTAACAACTTGTGCCTAGAGCACTCATATAATGCCTTACTTGTATTGTTAATTGTTACTGAAAATGCAAACAACCCTGGGAGGGGAGAATGAAGGTTATTCTATTATTTATTTGATGATTTGGGGGTTTTCCACAGACAGTATATATAGCTAGATTGATTGCAGAAGAACTACATATATATGCAGAAACCATGATGTAAAGACTATCACACTTGTATAGCAAATAATAATTTTTAAAAATGTAATAATATTGCAATGGAACACAAATCAGCGCACAGAAAAAAGCACTGCCACAGCTATTATAGAAGGCTGTCAGCTCGTTTGAGGTGCAAACAACACAGTGGACATACAATCAGGGCCATTATTTTCAATTCTCATGTTGGCAATTAGGTAAAACCAAGTGGAAAGGAGGACATTCACATTGTGGTGAGCTAAGCTGTGGCAATTATGATAATAAGAAGTCTTTAGATTAATAATAATAAATAATGGATTCTGTGGACAATAGAAGAACTGATTTCAATGACTGTCCACGCTGAAACTTTTCACATCTTTTCCATTAACTTAGAAGATATCATATTGTGTATAAGGAAGAGCAAACTGTTACTGCCAAAGATCCATATTTTATAATAAATAATTGATTTCTAAACTAAAGCTTGCTGTATATATTGTCGGTATTGATTAGATAGCCAGCAGAAGTAAGATAATACTCACAGGCAGGATTTCTTAAAAAGCTTGCTTTAAAATATTATGCCTGATAGTCTTGTTGAACCAGCCTACAGCCTAATAATAATGCAGGGTTATTTTCCTGGAGTACTCACTTACAAGGATTCTACAATTAGCAAGATACTAAATTGACAGCAATTCTATGGCTACAAATGAAATCCGTAGCAAACTGCTATATTCACTGGAGGTAGAGAGGCATAATTAAGAGTAATCTTTGCCCTTGCATTTTTGAACTGGATAATAACTCTGTTAGTGAGTGAGCACTTCTACAGTCTAGCTTGTGCTTACACTGCCACGTTGGTGTTGTTTTCCTGAAAGCCATGAAAACACACAAATAAGTCAGGCAGACATGACTAAGCACAAGTGTGCTCTTAGTATGACAGTTGTGGCATTTTTTAGGAAGACAGCTGTATTCTGAAACAAAACTGCATTCAGGTTTATAATTGCATTTGAGACTGAAGTAGCATCCATTGTATAGACAAGTCTGCACAAGTTTATTTTGTTAATGTATAGGAAAACACAGTATACAAAAGTAGCTATTTTTCCTGACATATCTCACTGCCATGAGTGAGCAATTGACAGTATTCTTTAACTGATGATTACAGGAACTTCTTCTCAAACCAATTAAGAATATAATTTCCATTGAAAACACATCAGGGCTTTGTAATTTATTTGCAAATAACTGAACAGTTTGATGAGAACAAACAAAACATACAGCTGACTCAGCCCATATGAAAACTTCTTCCTCTAATTAAGATGGCACATACCCTACTCAAAATGGAAAGCCTGAAGTGTTGTAAATAAAGACTACAAAACAACTATAGTTAACAACTTTTGTATATACTGCGGATTGTCACTGAACTTTTACATCTATTTTATTTGAACTTTCCTTCCCTTGGCCTATCCCTGAGTTTTATATTGTTTAAGTAAGTTTGAGAAGATTGACTATAAATGTAGTTTACAGAATTTTATTATGAATGATGGATTCTCGTTCATACTTGGGCATTTCAAAATTAATGTATTTCAAATTAGTTCCTTAAATTTTCGTTCAATAGATATTCTAATTTAGCCACAGAAACTGAAGCATGGAATGCAATTTTGTGGCTATAAAACACAAGTCTTAAGAGAGATGATCACAAAGTTACATTAACTGATGTTAAAATCTAGTAGTCTATCTAAATCTTATCTATATGTTTTCAGTTGAACAGAATAAAAATCTTTAATAACTGAAGCCAAAGTTGGAAATCAATTGCCCAATCTTCTGCACCTCAGCTTCCATGTTTTCTATATCTCCAATTCAAAATTATCTGTGTTAGTTTAATCTCTTTTTCTTCCCCCAGTGTTATCTACTTTACAAAACATAACAGCTGTAAAAAAGTAAAAAAAAAAAAAAAAAAAAAAAAAAGGAAACACAGAGTGAAATGAATTCTCCCTTATCTTCTCTTTCTTGTTCCAGAACCTCAAGATCCAACCAAAATCAAATGTTGCACTTCCTATGAAACTTACTTAAGAAAAGAATGGGAAAAATTACACAAATAATGATAATTTTGTCTGACAAGGTATTATTAGACAGAACCAAAACACAACAGGAATAAGGGATGTCACAGGAACCTCAACTGAACAAGAGAGGCATGCACTTTGGGTATTATATGCAGATATTCTGTGATCTGGAAGTGAACAGGGTTGCATTAAATACTAGAAACAATACCAAGGCTCTTTGATTTCTAGTGCTTACAATCATACCAGATTCCTAAGAGATAATACTTACATCCCTAAGAGTTTGACATACAACTGTAGACTTGCCTTAACAGAGCACAATGCTTCCAGATATTCTTTACCCATACAACATAAGAAACTGCATATATAGGTGAGTGCTGTGATTTTCTCTGTTCAACAGCAACAATCGTACCTTGTCCCTTAGCCTTTTTTTTCTGCTCTAAAAATTCTAGTGTCATCTCCTGCAGTACTTCCTAGCTGTAATCACAGCTACTAACAAGGCCAGAAGAAATCAAGTGAATATCAGCTGACAGAATCTGTTCCTTTCACCATATTACTTCATCTCCACAACACATTAATCATTAAGTATAATTAGCAAAAGTCTGGGCTGCTTATCTCCTTTTGTTAACGGCACTGCTCTTTATTATCAAGATCTGAGTTTTCCCTGTACAGAGATCAATACCACTTGTGCAGCTTCTAGCATTATTGGCAGGTCTTTCTCTTTAAATGTTACTGAGTGCTGGAAGGAAAAGTCCAGCTAAAAGGCTTTCATACAGTTGCCAGCCACATCATAGCTTCTTCCTTGACACTTCTATTTTTTTCTTCTCTTTCATAGCTAATAATATCTATGTTGAGAAATAATTTAAATCTGGCAGACATCAGCTTAATACTTCTTGGTTCTGGTTCTGATGTGCTAGGCCATCTAATCTACACAGCCTAACACACTCAATTATTCCCTACCTCTTCCTGGCTGGAGGCAGGGCCCCTCTTATTCTGATTATTGCATCCAACACTCATTTTTCATGGATGTATAGCAAAAGACTAATTATCAAAATCAGAACATCTATAGTGTCAAGAGGAGCAGTGGTTCTCATTGAGGAGCCCTTACTTGTGATTAACCTTCTCTGTAACTCACTTACCCATGTTTGTAGGACTGAGGTGGGTTTTCCATCCCACTTCCTCATACCGTCCTCATGACCACATAGTCAAAACTATAAGGTGGCACACAGTGTATACTCATTGTTACCTCTCACTTGAACAGGAAGACCACAAGGATGTCTGCTTCTAATAGATGAGATGTTGGCTCATACATGTGGAAAGTAGGACACAGGGTTTCTGAATTACTGGACCTCATAGTCAAACTTATGAAGCTTGTTGAGCATCTAGAGTTTGTTGGACACTCTCTACAGCTGAGAGACACAGGCCCATATGGAGGAGATGAAATATTCTTCATACTCTTGATGAGCGGTAACCAAATCACTCACCTGGGATCTCTCATCATCTTTCCATTTCATTGCTGCCAGTGTACTGGCAGACACTTCTGGTGCAATTCCTGTGACTTTCTGCCACATAACTGGTGAACACCTAGCTCTTTAGGGATCACGGATTGTATGAGGATCATCAGGCACAAATACATTGTCACACAGCATCTTCACCACAGCCAATAATCTGGATATCTCTGGTATCTCCAGATACCTTTTTCAGCAGTGATCCATTTAATTAGATTAAGCATCACATTTTCTTTGGAAGG